CTACCGCTCGTCGCTCACCGCTGCGCCGCTCTGGTCTGTAAGCTCCTTAACACGATCTATCTCACTTTATTCGTTGTATTGTCTCATTTCTGCTAAAGATTCTTAACCTTATTCCGTCTACGTTCCTCTCTGCAATGTCCGGACCTGATTTTCATAACAGCCTCAATCTATTTAAAGCTTTCTTGAATAATTATGTCTAATCTACACTCTTTAAGAATAGCGTACCGGAATTATTGCGGTGCTCTCGGTAAAATGGATTTTTGCGAGGTCCGCTAAACCCTGGTATTACCGTATGAAAATTTCTTGAGAAATCATCGTCATGATCAATCGCTTGCTCTCCAATCACTACAACTTGAAGTCTAGCTTACATCGTAAGAATCTTATTGAAGACTAACTAAATTTACTCGAGCTATTTCTAAGCCATCCGAATGCTTTGGTAGACTCATTCTTAATTTTAGTAAGTCTTGTTGCAGGCAATTCTGAGCTTTAAACTTTCGCGCCTCCTTGTGACCTGCGCAGGCGCCTTGCCCTTCTCTCGCCCCTCCCTTCCCATCCTAGCGAAGCCTTGCTTCGCTTTTCATGTGGCACACTGTCGCGAGGTCTTGGCGCTACATTCCGTAGCTCATAGTTTTACGCAAGAAGACTAGAACTAAGGAGGATCAACTCGTGTGGTGGGGGTGAGTCAAAAAACGTCCGCGGCTATTCACACGATGTGCAGCGGCACTGCGCATTGTGTGAAAGTTCGATATAAGAGCGACAAAGTGTATTATAGAACGATAGAGCGACAACTATATAGAGCGACAGAGAGGACTAATGAAGCGCAAGAGTGGGGGAAGTTATCCGTCGCCACTTTTTGCCTCACCCCCACTACCGCTGTTGGCACCGAGTTGACCCTCCTTAGTTCTAGTCTTCTTGGTTTTACGTTACCTTTACAAATTCAGATGAACTTAATATACGGTTATTACTATTGTGACGAGATCTGGCCGTATCGACCTCCTTTTACATTGTTTGGAGGCGGGAGCCATTAATTAAAGTAGAAGAAGCCTCCTTTGTTTACGCGCCAGTTTCCGCTCTCATCTGTTTCTGTGCTCCACCTTACGTACGGTTCACATGACTGTTTTTTTGCTCTGGCCGTATTGACCTCCACATTCTACAGGAGGCAGGAGCCATAAACAAAGAAGAAGAAGAAGAAGCAGTGTTTTGTGGTTTTGTGGTTTTGTGGTTTTGTGGCTGTGATCAGCTGTGACACATTTCCTAACTTGAATCGTGGTCGTCAAGTTTAACGATTAATATCTCAATTCGCGAGGCAGAGCTTTTTTTCAGCCAGATTTATTTATTTCGTGCAAAAACTCGTCGAATGAGCCTAATTTCGTCAAAATCTGTGAGGAAGACAGAATTCTTGATTATTACCAAGAATGCGTTGATTGGTATATTTTTTATTGATTTTTGTGATTGTGTGTGCCAAACTGAACAAATACCCACACCTGAATGAAGAGCGTTCTCTCAAGGATTAGTCGGGCTAAACAAGTGGTCACGCGCCGCTATTTATGCCTGACGACAATGGCTAAGAGCAAATTCGAGTATGTGAAGGAATTCGAAAGAGACGACAACTGCTTGCCAAATTGCTGGATTGTGATTAGAATAGACGGCAGGAATTTTTCGAGATTTTGTAATACGCACCAGTTCGTCAAACCGAATGATGTGGCCGCTCTTGACTTGATGAATCGTGCTGCTATCACTGTTATGGAGGACTTTAAAGAGATCATATTGGGTTTTGGCCAGAGCGACGAATATTCGTTCGTGTTCCGGAAAGATACACAACTTTACAAACGCAGAGGTATTCATCGTGTGCCTCGACAATGTGAGATTGTCCAACGCAAAATCATTGAATTAATTTAATGTATCTTTGCTTGCGTGCAGTTACAGTTTCATTCTTTACTGTTAATTTTGCTGTTAATTATTTTCTATTTTGGAATTCATATATCTCGATGATTAACAATTAATTTTGAGTTTTTTAATTATTTCATACAACATTATTTTAGCTAATTATTGAATACTATAAATTTATAATATTAACTAACTTTTAAGTGTTTAAGCAAAATTGTTTAATATTCTATGATTGAATCATTATTATGTCATCAACATAAGCGGCGATTGTTTTGTTTGAGTGCTCATGTGCTGTGTGTGTAAGTTTCATTCTATCTATTTTTTTTTTATTTGTATCATTTATTACATACACGGAAAGAAGATAAAATGAAGCTTACAGTGCATGAGCCACAAGCGTGGCACGAGTGCTCAAATTAAATGCAACCATAGTACTAGATGAAGCATAAAATTGAAACTACTTTGACAGACCTTGGCAGAAAGAGAAGGAAAGATGTGGAGACAGTAGTAAGTAGTTAGTCATGTAATTAAGAGCCATGAGGTACTAATTTTATTTACATATGAGTTGAGAAATGTTTGTTTTTAACTTGTTTTTAAGTAACTGTTTTTTTTTTTTCATTAAAGTAACACTTATAGCCTTTTGATTTAATTATTTGATTTATTATCATTTAAGCCGTTTTCTTATATTGTTATTTTAAAATAATAGTGTCAGAGAAGTGTTTAATAAAATTCTTTCATATTCGGAAGCCGTTTGCATCTAATAGCTATACTTTTCTTATTGTACCGGCTGGAAAAACTATGTTGCAGATTCTGGTATAATTTCCATAATTATGTTGGAACAATGTGCACACCATGAATCTCTATAATAGCAACACTAATCATAGTCTGACATTCAGGAAAAAATACTTCTTTCAGTTAAATTTTTACACGATTCAATGATAATTTGCCCGATGTGAAAGCCGTAAGCTGTAACATATGTAAATATTAGGCGCCTTGAACATAGTTTTCTGCACTCTCGGAGCAAATCTTTTTACTTCTTTTATTACAACAAGGGCAACAATAATCTACTGTCAGCAGATATATTCGGTTGCGACACATATCCACTTTAAAACCACGCAAATAAACTTTTTTAAATAAATTTTGAAACCTGAGCGACAAGAATTAATGACGCGTCAATGATTACAATTTTATGATATTATCCTATCTTTTTGTGAGGTATGACCAGACCTAGAGATATAGTTTTCTAACTGGAATACACTTCGATTCAAATTATAAATATTTTCTTCTCCCCATTGATAAATGTAATATATTACATTTTCAATAAATGTATCGCACTTATTTTCACAAATCTACTTTCGATAATAAAGATTTTTGTTACCGATAAAATTTGTTGTTTTTTCAGACACAATATTATATGTAACTTTAAATCTTATCTCCAGTTTCTGAGACTTTGAATCCTGGTACACTTTCTTCTTCTTGTGATAACTCAAGAAGCCTATCGAGTAATATCTATATCATCAATAATTGTGCTATTTTTAAGCGCTTCATTAAAAATTTAATGTATATTCAGAAATTCGTTTTGAACTTTTCAAATCTACTACCACCTTCATTTGATCCTTTCATCGTCGTAGCGTCGAGAATCGATGTAACTTTCTTATATTTTTATCTAACTCCTTGAAGCGATCTTGGTTTTGTTTTACCACTTTTCTAGTGTTCCACAGCTATTAAAATATTTGACTCGCGAACTTTGAATATACAAGGTGTATAAAAAGTACTAGGACGGCAAAATATCTCGAAAACTAAGCACTTTAGAAAAAAGTGTTTCAGATAAAAGTTTTAGGTTTCCAAAAATCTATTTACTAGCGCTATATGAGTTTGACCTTGGATGGCGTCGCAAAGGTCAGATCAAGGTCACATTGATTTTTTAAAATAGAACACCCTATTTTTATTCTAGAATCTAATAGCTGGTGTTAAGAGCTTTTCAAAACACTATAATAAAGTTCATTTTTATTAAGTGCTTTTCGAGTTACAAGGCTTGAAAGTTACAGTACCGCCAACGTTAGCATTACTCAAGGTGTCCGATCGATGGCTTTTTTTTATATGTTTGTTTCAGCATCAAAATTGATGGCTTTTTTTATATGTTTGTTTCAGCATCAAAATTGATGTCTAATGTGAATTCATTATTTGCTTCGGCATACGTTTATCACTGGCCACGTTTCTTCAGAGGCAAAGAATTGTATTATCCACCGTCATTTGATGCTCGTGTTATATTATATCCAACAGACAAGAATTTAAGGGATTATCTAGCTTGGCGACAGGCTGATGTACACATCAATAACTTATATAACACTTGTTTTTGGAATCTTATTTTGAAAGGAAAATTAACTCCAAGTCAGGTAAATATAAATAATAACAGATCTAGGATTTTAAAATCAATATAAGGCATATTTCAAACGTAAGAGCAAACTGCTGTTAAAAAAAATTAAAATAAAATTATTATTGATACATCTGCATGTATATGCTTTACTTTTCTATACAGGATGTTCTAGAAAGAGAGAAAGAGAGAGAGAGAGTGCGAATCCTTTCACTGGCAATTCTGTGTGAAACATTCTAAAAAGTCTGATGTTGTTAAAGGTATTGCAAGTAACAGAGCTTTAAAATATAATGCTATAATGACTATGTAGAATTTTCCTACATTGACAATTTTATAAAAAAGATTGAATATATAAAATCGGCAAAACAGCAAAAAATCCGAAAAGTCACAAATATTAGTCCAATTTTAATGTATACATTAAAATACATTGAATTAATATTTGCAACATTTTTTCGGATTTTTATTCAATAAAAGAATAAAATAAAGTATAGAAAAACTCTATAATAATCATCATAGTACAATAATCATTCTATTTTAAGGTATAATTAACTTATAACTTCACTAATACTTTAAAATATGAATTTCGGCAGTTAGGCACCTTTGCAGTAAGCGCATCAATTATGTCAATATTTAAAGTGAGTCAATGTACAGTGAGTCATAGAAAGATTGCAACACTTTTTTCGGTAGATTTCGAAATGCAGTCTGCTCATCCATTCTTACTCATTCTTACTCATTCTTACTCATGGATCTCGCCATTTACGTTTAATCGCTCTACGAGCAAAGCTGAGTTCCAAAAACCATTGAAAAAAAGTATCGCAATCTTTCTGTGACCCACTGTACAAGTGTAAGAAATAAGCGACTTATACATCGAATATCAAGGCACTCCGAGATTCGAACCAAGGTCTGGTTTCCTCCATATTGATAGACTGGTTCCGTCCTATCAATATCCAAGCCACACAGCCCTGACGCTGATAGCTTCTCTGCTGCCTATTTCCTCTAAATTTCTTACACAAGGGCCAGTATTCATAGTCGTTTCTTATTTCAAGACCGTCTTAAGTAATGTTTCTTAAGACGCTAATGCGGCCCTCTGATTGGTTTGTGACATCTTAAGACTATACTTAAGACGGTCTTGAATATAAGAATCGACTATGAATACCAGCCAGAGACATCTTCGCAACCGCGCGCGCGATATACATGTCTGAGCGCGCAAATTTCAGACGCTGCAATTGGCGAACTTTAATCGTTTATAATTTGAAAAGTATTATAGCTTCGACATTTTGGTATGAGACTTTCGTCTTAGAATGTTAAAGACAAAATCTGCTAGTGAAAGGATTCGCTTTCTTTCTGGGACAGTCATCATTTCTAAATATTTTCTTTTAATCGGAGCATTAGCTTTTTTATATAGAAATTCATTGCCTGAGAATACAGCTAGTTCAGTACTGTTGCTTTTCATTTCTTATTCGAATCATTGAGGTCCAAAGTACTTCTTGAGATAAAGGAAAATGTGAAAACGTATACTTACTAGGAGAATCCTAGAAGTGTTCATTAAGTTTTTCAATATCAATTTTTTTATGATTCTTGAGGCCAAAAAACATACGTGTTGCGGCATTTATTAACATGCGGCTTCGTCTTTGAATTATAAATTTAAAAAAATCCGAGAAATTCAAATCGCGCTTGTTCTTTAAGGAAAGTTTATCAAGAAAAAGAAGTTTAGAAAATGTTGTTTTTGCAATAAATAGAGCATTCGAGGCTCCGTTATCTCGAAACGCACACGCGCCGTTAATAGTTTTTGTGTGCGAAACTAATTTTTTAACCGTTTAGAAACGCTTTAATAAGTTTGAATTGCTTTTGTAGGAAATATTATGATATCAATATTCTAATTGTTTGAAAGAAATAACAAACACAACAAAACATATATTTTAAAGAAAGAGAAAAATTGCCGAACCTCGAATGCAAATCCGATTCGTTGGAATGATGGTTCAATTTTTCAGATTTTCAAAAATTTATAACTTGAAAACAAAGTTGCATGTTGATAAATGCCGCGTTACGTATATTTTTTTGCCCTCAAGAATCATTAAAAAAAAATAGAATATCGAAAAACTCGATAAATACTTATGGGATTTCCCTTATCAGTGCAAGGTCTGGGCTATATGGAAGATATTTGAAAAGTTTATATTTATATTGTTGAATTTTTTGCGAATCAAGCACAATTCCTGACAATCCAGTGTTTTTCTTTATTTTAAGAAGTGGTGGAATAGAATCTGGGCGATGGATTCTTATGGAAGAAAGGTGTGAAAAAGTTGTTATATACGACAGAAAATATGTAACAAAAAAAGTAAACTACTATGAGTAGAAAGAAATGATGACTTTATAGAAAAGTAAGTAAAAAGTAGATACCGTAAAACGTGTACGTTACATGTAGATCACATACAGAATTATTTTATACATTATTGATAATATATTGATTGTAACCTAATAATTACTATATGTTTATTATTATTGTATATCTTAAAATAATCATGTTACTTTTTAATGATAGATTACATACTTTTAAATTATATACTTTATAAATAAAGAACAAATTTTATTTTCCAACTTCTGAAAAAAACAATTTTAATATAAATTATGTTTAGAATTTAATTGTCAGTCTAAAAAGTATATTAAGTTTTAAATTTGTTCTTATAAAATACAATAGGATATTCGTAACAAGACACAGAGATCTGTATAATTGCATATTGTAGCAAATTATATAATGTATACTCATTTTTTAAAATATGCAATAGAATTAATTAATTTTTTCCGTTTTAATATTTTAATTTATGGATGCTACAGGCTGAGGAAAAACTTAGGGGCACACTGGCATCGCATAAGAACGAGCTGCTTTTTCAAGAATTTGGTTTAAACTATAATAATGAACCGCCATTGTTTCGAAAGGGTACAACACTTATTCGGAAATTGGTACCCGACAGTACAGAAAGATTGAAACCTACCATAGTTCCTTTAGTAGATGATATTATCGGTGACCGTTTTTGGAAAGAGAATCCTGAAGTTATTGGTTTGAAAAGTTTAGCAACTTATCAACCACCAAGCTTAATGAACAGCTTTAAGAGTACAATACCCGTGCCTACTTTTTCTTCACCTATTGTGGCAAAACTTGAGAACAACGTACCCTCATCTTCACAAGTGATAAATTCAGTCAAGGAAGAAATGCATTCTAATAGAAGCACAGAAACAAATGGAAATCAAATGCAGTGTGAGAGTGAACACATTTGTAAGAAATAAGTTTGTACTTTGTTCTTTTGTACTTTATACAATAAAGTTGAATTGGAACTATCTATACATGATAGTAACAGACTGTTTATTGCAAGGGGAAAAATCCTGAGAAAATAGAAGAACACCATAAAAGATGAACGTCTTTTTAGTCTTTGAAAAGATCAACCGTTACGTTTCAAGATATGTAGCATACAATAAGAAATGTGTTTAAGAAATAAGATACAAGAAACGATATAAAGATTGATAATATAAAAATTGATAAATGAATTTGTAGATAAATTCAAACAGAATGAAAATAATCCTTGATACTTGTAGAGTATCTGTCTTTAAAAGTATATAAATAACTAACAATCCTATTATTAGAAGTACATTAAACAGCTTCAATAAAAAAAAGCTGCTGTTAATCAATTATTATTTTAACGAAGTTCCCGAGATAACAAATTCTATAAACAAAACGAATGACGAAGGTAATTGGAAATTGGACTCTAGACTTTTTTTAAGCATTAACAAGCTTCATGGTGTTATTAGAACTCACAAAGATCCCCTTCCGCCGTTATCTAAAAAGAATGATTACAGAATATCTTGTAATAATGCAACCTATATTGAATAAATGTGCAGGCAATTAAAAACGAGAATCTCGGAATACAACAAACATATCCGTAGAAGTACGTCTTACATTAGCCATGATTTCGACTAGGATGAAGTTGACATTTTAGATACTATGAATATAATTATAATAAAAGACTAATGTCTAAGATAATAAGCATATCAAGAAACAGAAGAATTGTATCAATCGACAAATAGAGGTTCTAGACAAAACATATATATATATAGATCCTCCTTTTAAATAATAACTGAAAATATACTATATATGTTTATAATATTTTGCGACCTTTCGTTGACTTTAGTGGAGAATTTTGGATACGCTCGTCTCAAAAAGTAGATCTTTAACATAGCCATAGTTTACATAAAACTGTCTTTAGCCTGCTAAATTATTTACATTTTTGATAGTAGTGTGGAACACTTTTTCAATTTCAATATTGTTTTATTTATTGACTACGTTTTTAATTATAATAATATTATTGTATGAGATCAAAGTAATTTGCACGACGATTTTGGTCATCGGTCACGTTATTGTAGGGTAAGTTTATAATGATTTCAATATTAAATTCTTGCTCAATTAAAAGATATTTACACGTTAAAGATTCTTAGTCATTCGCTACCACTCAGTCTTTCTTTCAACTAGTGAGTTTGTTCTATAATGAAGAAATGGTTACTGCCACACATTGCCACACAATAATTGTGAACGGATGCATCTCAATTAACTGTAATAATTTTTTATATTGTTTCGCTGAAGAAGGATTAACCAAAATATGTATGAATTGTTTTCTTTGTTATCAAGATAAAAGCAAAATTCTTTAAAGCAAAATTGCGCATAGTCTACAGCGTCAATTCCCAATTGCCTTCGTCATTTGTCTTGTTTATAGAATTATCATTTTCCTTATTATTACTGCTGTACTGCAGTACATTTAATATAAAAAAAAAGTGGGAAATTATGATACTATTGTACATATAGAAATTATGGAATTAGTGATTGTGTTATTAATTATACGGAATGCAGCATATTTTCATTTATTTTATAGTATGTATATATCATATTAATCACTACAATAATATGTGATAATGATTTACATTGAAAAATAAAATAAAATATATTATGTACACATATAGATTTTGCTATTTCGCTTATAATCTTACAACAACAATGCTAAATCATAATTCTTAATATGTGCAAGTGGCAAAATACTAATGTTCGACAATTATATACAGGGTATCCCACTTTAATCAATCGCAAAATTTTATTTGTTTTTAGTTTTACAGAAAAATGTTTTAAGCGAGAAAGTTGTATGATTTAAAGGGACGTAAATAATGGTAAAATTAATTTTCGAAATAAATCAATTTTTTTAAGATTATCGCCATTTTTTAATTGAATTATATGATGTTTTTTTTACATAATATGATTCCTCTAATAATATTATATATAAAAGTATTGATATAGAGATCGAAAAATCAATAGTTTTCGAGTTATTTTATACTTTCAGTTTGACACCACATTGACATGGAATATAAAATATCTCTTAAACTATTAATTTATTGATAATTGTACCTTAATACTTTTATACGTAGAATAATGACATGAATCAATTGGTGTGAAGAAAAACATGGTTGCTTATTTAAAAATTTATGCGTTTTGCAATATGCAACTAAATGTTTTTTAAAGCAATTATGTTTTCTTTACACTGAGTCATTTCATTACATTCTATGTAAAAATATTAATGCGATTATATATATATATATATATAATATTAATAATTTAAAAAATATTTTGTTTTATGTAAAAATGTGCCAAATAAAGTGTAAAATATTTCTTGTAAAGTTTTCAAATAAAGTGTAAAGTATCTTTCGTAACTATTTTTTGATAGCTTTACCTAATACTTTTATATGCAGAATAACTAGAGGAATCATTTATGTGAAAAAAATAATACAATTCTCCATTAAAAAATGACGATAACCCTCATGTAACCTTAAAATATTGATTTTCTAACTGATTTTACTATTATTTGCGTCCCTCCAAATGGTACAATTTTTATCTCAAACATTTTTTTCCGTAAAATTAAAAATAAAGAATGCTTTAGGAAATGATCGATTAAAATGAGATACTCCTTTATACTTGTACATATCTATTTGATTTTCTAAAATAAATTTTTGTGATAATATTGTTATTATACAAATAACTTCTAAGAGTTTTTCTAATAATAATTAGATTATTACCGCATAATTTTATACTATGCGAAAGAAAATTAGATTACGTTGAGAAATAAGTAATTGATATTATCGGTTTAATATGCATATTTAAAATATAGGGATATAATTATCTATTTTAGCCCGATGTTTTTGAGCAACACATTCCGCGATCCATACAATATTACGACACTCTTGCTCCTTCAATTTCAAGTAGCTATAGAATACCCCAAAATGAAATTGTTGAAGGAATGCATGGACGTTTAAACGAACCTATACATATAAAAAATTAAAATCGAATTATATACATATATTCATAAATATATATATATAAAATATATATAAAATGTGTGTGCGCGCGCGCGCGAGCACGCGCACAAATAGCGTAAATTAATATTAAATTATTAATTATTTCGTAGTATGTTACGAATATTTTTTTATATTACAACAAATGTACTTGCCTCGTGTTCGAAGAATTTGTCTTCCAAGGTCTTATCACCAGGATTATTACCCGCGCCTTCAAATAAGGCGCTGTATTCCTGTTTAAATATTGTAATTGTAATTACATATAAGTATAAGGATGGTCCATTTTTATTCATCCAGTAGAATACCTTAAAATACTTAAGTTTCAGACAAAAATGTTTCAGACAAAAGTTGCTCAGCCATAAGAGGGAAAGAAGATGACGATCTGGTTTGATCTCGAAAAAATGTTCTTACACTTAGGTCAATGTCATCTAAATTTTTTTTTAATGAAATTATATATTTTTGTTTAGATAATACGATTCCTCTAATTATTCTACATAAATTTTAAGTAACGTTGACTGACCTTAAAGACATTTTCTCAATGGCAACCAAGATTACCACCTTTTTATCCCCCTAGTTACTGAACTTTTGTCTGAAACATTTTTGTCTTAAACTTAATGATTTTGAGAAAATCAGTTGGATAAATTAAAATGGTCTACTCTGTATATATATGTATACCATATACCCACCGGATGTTTCAAACCACGGGTGTACACCCCATTTAAAAACGAGGGAAGTGGTTATTTTGAAAAATGTTTCAGACAAAAGTTGTTGGGGATCAAGTAATGCATTACATGGACATATACAACTGGGTAGCGTCGTGAAGATCATGTCAACCTTGATATGAATTTTTTGGAAATGTATTATACTTGATTCCCAACAACTTTTGCCTGAAACATTTTTTAAAATAACCATTTCCTTCGTTTTTAAATGGGGTGTATGGGTGGTCTGAAACACTTGGTATGGTACATTTCACTTTTAAATGAACTCCTAACTTTAAGTGGCTTGCATACACATGCGTGCGATATATAGAAATATATCGGATAATATAGAAAGTAAAATAGAACAGAAAACAAAACGCTAATACTATGCAATTGCAGAAGTAAAAATGTCATTACATGGCAGCATCAAGCGTCGACCATCTATGCAGAAATTTATTGTGCACGATTCTGAATCTCTTGATTCCAGTTTTTTAATATAAATGATGAATTACGAGAGGTTTTGATCAGGGCTGGGCATGTATTGAAAATAGATACTTTTATCCAAAACACAGTATTTGCAATACAAGTGTATTTTGTATTTCAGCGGGGCACATGAAAGTATTACGTATTTTGTATTTAAAATCGAAAGATTGAAAGTTTTTTCTATTTTAATAGTAAAAAGAATGGGCTATGAGCCAGTTATAACATAAAGAATATTTAATAAACTTTCTTACATACATGCAAACATTTCGACGCCGATCGGGTCATTTTCAATGCAAAACAATAAACAATCTTATAAATTTCTCGGAAAATTTAGTTAAATTATAAAGTCCAGTACAGAGTTCGGTTGTATTAATGACATGTGGTCCATATGTAAAAATATCGAAGGAGATCTCATCTCACTCCTTTTACAATTCTCCAATCTTAAAATGTCTTAATGATGTAAGTTTCCTCTCGGCATCTAACTTACATCATTAAGACATTTTAAGATTGGAGAATTGTAAAAGGAGTGAGATGAGATCTCCTTCGATATTTTTACATATGGACCACATTTCATTAATACAACCGAACTCTGTACTGGACTTTATAATTTAACTGAATTTTCCGAGAAATTTATAAGATTGTTTATTGTTTTGCATTGAAAATGACCCGATCGGCGTCAAAACGTTTGCATGTATGTAAGAAAGTTTATTAAATATTCTTTATGTTATAACTAGCTCATAGCCCATTCTTTTTATTATTGATTTATTCTGATTGAGCCATATAGATAATTATTTTTCTATTTTGTAATTCAAATAATAAGATTGATTGTCAATCTTAGCATTTGAAATACAAGATACAAAATATTTT